ATTGCATTCATTAATATGTTAATGTATGACAGTTGCTCCTTTTTCTTCTTTCCTTCTCCTGCTACATAACAACTTCCTACCTCTTTTGTATGCTTTTAGTGGCTCTCCATTGCCTTCTGAGAAATTCAAAGCAGACAGCTTTACATTACTAACTTAGCACAGCCCAAGCTCAAACATTCATTCCAAAATGCAGTGTATTTTGCCTAGGTATTTCCTACCAAAAAACCAATACTTCAGCAGCATGGCAGTCTACTATGTTGAGAAAAATGAGACATAGTATAGAAATTATAATGTATCAGGAATATAAGTGGCACAGAGTAAGTAAGTGGTAGATTTTCATCTTGAAAGTCCTGAGTTATTTCAAAACTGTTTATTTTGATTGAACTTGACTGTTGACTGTGAATGAGAAAGAGAGTTTTGAGCACAAAGCCTTCTAGCTGTTGCTCTGCATAATTTGGCAGAATGCAGCTTCTGCAAATCAGGCACATGGGTAGGTGGAAGCTTTCTGATTAATAAAGTCACAGGCTTTATGCACCCTAGCTACTTGTAGGAGAGTGCACTTTTTGCTTCTGGATCAGCAGCACCTTCTTTGGCATAAGAATTGTTTTCCAAGGTGCAAATGCAAAAAAGTTCATGTATCAGACTACTTATTAGCTGTCCAATTTATACTGGATATTTCAATAATATTGAAATAGCTTTATAATAGTATCACTCACTTACTGGTAGAGTGGGACAAAACAAAGAAGGTCACATCTGTGATTATTGAGGACTATTTCTTTACATTAGCCCTTATTCTGAAAAGAAGAAGCATAAGGAGGGGGTTGGGACACTTGAACAGCCTTGATTTTAAGGCCATCTCTCAGTAAGTCTCTCTTTTTTGTCTCAATGAAGTGCTTTTCATTATTCTCAGAGGTACACCATATTGTTTTCATTATAACTCAGAGCAGATGTTGAATACTTTTACCAGACTAGTTGTGAAACATTGTTCTCCCAGTATAAAACATTGCTCTTCTAAATAGCTGTTTCATTGTCACATCTTAAGGTGTTATACAGAAAGGAAATTGGTTTTATGATCTGGTTGCCCCTGAAAAGCCTTCCACAGCTGGAGGGAAAGCTAACTTGGTAGCTTAGTGAGTGGACAGTTAATGTGCAAAATGTTTGCAAAAGAGACTGTAAGTCAGACCTACTGTTCTGTTCCTTGCATTAAAAATATGGAAGTTCCTAAAGTCTTCAGCATTGGAAATCTGTCTAGGTGCTATGCATTAATTTCAGAGAATCTTCAACTATAAACAAATGAGTGGCAGGTAAGGGACATCTGTTCGTATATGCAGAAACTTGATTTAAGGCATAGGTGGAATACAATGTGCACTTGACAAGTGCTATCCTTCTTCAGACTGTTACTGTTTCAACTTTTCAGACCTGAATCTTGTAACCTGAACATAGATCCTGAATTGAATTGTAAAGAAAACAACCTTAATTGAAACCAAAGATTCATAAGCAACATTATTTATTGGAAATCTGTAATAAAGGGCCACACAGTATTTGTATTACACATAATTGTTAAGGAAAGTATCTCTTTTAAATAACACTTAAAATCCTGTGTTCTTCTGAACAGTGATGATTTCTTTTCAGGAGGATTTTGAATTGAATTCTCCTTTAAACTCAGACTGTTTTCTTGGTGATAGAAAAAACTGTCCTAGAAAGAGGCTGTTGTTTCCTAATAGGTTTGGGAAATTGATATTTCAATCCAGCATCCTGTTTGAAAGATAAATGTTGATTTCCCAAGAAATGTACAGCACAAAGGTTCATGCTGTCCTCTGACAGTACTCCTTTTGTGATTCTATATTGAAGGGGAATCTTTAGCATTCAGGAACAGCTAACCTAACCTAAAGAGCAGATGCTTTTGGGATTCCCTCTCTTAATTATTATCTGATCCGAGTACCAAAAACCCCATATTTTTTTCCATGTATATAAAAAGTCTTACTGCCCTGTGGGAACTGAATGTATGGCTTAGAGATTAGAGCACTGAGTAAATATGAAAATTATATCTCCATTGATAATTGAAAAGAAGAAAGAGCAACAGTTTTAAAGACCTTTTCACAAAGTTTTAGAACTTGTGATTCTCCAGAATAAATGGACTTTCATTCAGGCTTAGTCACCTTTGTCCAAAAAGCAGGTAAGAAACCAGACAAGTTAGTAAAATGAAGTTTCCTTTCAAGTTTCTGTTGATTTCATTAGCAGTGTACTAGAGAGTCAGGCAAACCCAAACAAATTTTCAGTAATTCTTCCACTCCCCTCAGGGTCTTTGGACTGAGACTCTTGATGAGAAATGCTTGTCAATTCCCAGTCCACACCAATGTTACTGGTACATCAGGCTTACAGTGGTGCTGTGTTCCCTGTCTCTCAGTAGCAAACCTAATTCCTGTGTTTTGGTGATAGGAGACTATTGTTCTTGCCTGATCTGCTGCAGTTTGTTTTGTAGCTCTTGCTGTGCAGTATGTAAAGCAACATATACACTGTGCTTCCACTTCTTCTCCTTGCACAGTCAAAAAGAAAACTCTCTGTTCTACTGTCTTTTCCAATTCTCTGTTCCTTCTGTTCCAAGTAAAAGAGGAAAATTCTTCAGTATACATACTGAAGATGAAACAACAGAAAATACTGTTGAAAACGTTTTGTTTTTCTACAACTTCTCAGTGTGATCACAGATGGGGTATGGTAGATTATTTTGATGTTGTGTCACCACTATAACTGTAGCCTGGGTGTATTGTGTGTTAGAAGAAAAGATTCCCCCATGACTGTGCAGGGAATTTGCACTAGCTGGAGTAGAGGATGGAATGGGGAAAGATTAGGAAACAACAAAGCCAACTTTTTAGCCTGTCTTTTTTAGCATGGAGGGTTGATAATTTTTATTCTGTGTCCCACAGTTGTATTTAGGCCCTAGTTCAGCTGTGCTGTAAATGCTAAACTTTCAGCTACTTACTGACACCTACTGTAAAAACACTACAAGAGTCTGTAAGTTTGTTTTTGTTTTTCCTTCTTTAAGCACTTGAATAGTCACACAACTTCTGAAGTGGAAGATGAATGCTATGGAGGTTGGAAAAATTCACAGCAAAAATGACTTTAATTTCCTGGTGCAAGTATACTGAAAATAGTTTTGAACATACTGATTAGATATACATATACATATACAGCTGGCGACAAACCTACTTTGTTTGCTAGGTGGCATGGACTATGAATTTCAGGCCAAGTGACCTGAGACATCATCAGGATGATATAGTCATGTTTTTAAAGTAAAGTCTCATCCTGTGTTTCTGCTACACTTTGTTTTCTGTGGCTCAGAGTTACAGCAGCATTTCAGAATTCTATAGATTGTTTCCTTAGAGGGGAAGAGTGAAGAGCAACTGGGATATTTTCAGTCTTAGACTCTCTTTTATATGACTTGATAGTATTTATTCTTTTTCTATGATAACAACTCTGGTAGTATAAAAATATTATGTGAAAAGAGAGGAAGGTGAGGAGGGAAGGATTTCTAGCTACTTAACTGTGGGGATGATTAGGAAGGTGTCAGCATTACTGGAAAGCATTGATGACGAGTTTCTGACACAAGTAGTGGAGGATCCCTTGAGGCATGGTGTGCTCCTCAGCCTTATACTAACAAACAGGTGATGAATGCCTTGTTGAAGATGTGAAAGTTGAGGGCAGCCTTGGATGTAATGACTGCTGTGGAATTCAGTAGTGGGCAAGGAGGAAACAGGACAGCAAGACTGTAATCATGGACTTCAGGAGATCTAACTTCAGCCTCGAAAAGTCTTCTTGAAAGAATCCTGTAGGAACAGATCCTGCAGTGATGAGGGTTCCAAGGGAGTTGGTTGATATTCAAGGATCACTTCCTCCAGACTCACGAATGATGCATCCTGATGGGCGAGAAATCAGGCAAAGGGGGAAGAGATCTATGTGGATGAATTAAGAACTCCTGTCATTACTTAAGTGTGACTAGGAAATACACAGGAGATGGGAGCAGGATCAGGCCAATTGGAATGAACATAGAGAGGTTGTCAGAGTAAGGAGAAATGAGACAAGAAAGTTAAACAAAGACAAGTGCTGGATTCTGCACCTGGGATGGAGCAACCCTGGGTGTACAGGCTGAGGAATAAGAGGCTGGAAAGCTGTGCCATGGAAAGGGACCTGGAGGTCCTGGTCAATGGCAAGCTGAACATGAGTCAGCAGTGCCCTGGCAGCCAGGAGGGCCAACCCTGTCCTGGGGTGCATCAGGCACAGCATCACCAGCTGGGCAAGGGAGGGGATTGTCCTGCTCTGCTCTGCACTGGGGCAGCCTCACCTCGAGTGCTGGGGGCAGGTTTGAGTGCCATAATATAAAAATGATAAAGCTATTGGAAAGTGTCCCAAAAAGGGCTACAAAGATGGTGAATGGCCTTGAGGGGGAGCTGTATGAGGAACAGCTGAGGTCACTTTGTCTGTTCAGCTTGGAGGTGACTGAAGTGAGACATCACAGTGGCCTTCGACTTCCTCAAAAGAGGAGGTGGAGGGGCAGGTACCAATCTCTTCCCTCTTGTGACCAGTGACAGAATTGCAAGGGAATGGCATGAAGCTGAGCCAAGGGAGGTTTAGATTGGATATTAGGAGAAGGCTCTTCACCCAGAGGGTGGTTGGGCATTGGAGCAGGCTCCCCAGGGCAGTTCCAAGCATCACAGCACCAAGCATGACAGAGTTCAAGAAGTGTTTGGACAATGCTCTCAGGCACATGTTTTGATTCCTGGGGGTGTCCTGTGTAGGACCAGGAGGTGGACTTCAGTGATATCTGGGAATCCCTTCCAACTCAGCATATTCTATGATTCCGTGAATTCTAAATCTTCCATTGTTTGTCTAGGAATTTTTAAAAAAAAATTATGATGTGCTGTGCATCAAAAAACTTCAAACTAGTAAATACTGACTGGAACTAAAACCAGCCTTAACTGACAGTATGTGTGTTCTCTTAATAGAGTCTGGTTCTGCAATTACGGCTTCCTGCATTGGTTTGGGGAACTCTACAACACCTCCACCTGGACAGGCAGGAAAACCAGTGCCAGGATATAATGGTAAGACTGTGCTAAAAATGTTACTAAGAAAGGACATTGCTTATATTCCCGAGTAAGTGCTCCTTAATTGTCATATTCCTGAGTAAGTGCTCCTTAATTGTCATATCTTGTAGTAAAAGAAAATTACAGTCTTATTAAGATATTTTCCTCTTCCCTGCTTTCTTGTGTTTTGTAGAATGTGATTCTGAATAAAAAATTCAGAGTCATCTTCAAGAAAATTGATCAACTACTTCTGCCTTTATTATATGAAAAGGCTAGCATATACTTTGGCACATTGCTCATCTATACTTCTATATGCATTTCTGCACTTCTGCAGAAGTTGAGAGAGTTGTTAAGCAAACTGTCTTTCAGTACCTGTGCAGCATTTTTATTTCCAGCCAGGAGAAATGGTAGGCTATGGACCAGCACAAAAAGGATGAGAATTCATTGTCTGGAAGGTATTTGCATGTAGGGGTGCAGCTACAGGATTAAGAATGCGTTTTAATACCTGGGAACCCTGGTTTTAACACAATTTTAAAACGTTTCTTGAAATCTGAAAAATAATTACATTAAAGATCAAGTGGTTCAGAAGAATTTCTCACATAATTGGTCAGAAAGATCTAAGCTGTTATTTTCTTTTAATACATGACAATGGTGGTGAACATTAAAAAAACTCAAATATTTTTAGCAGCTCTTGGTTTCTGCACTTACAGTTATGGCGTGATGATGAGCAATAGCTTAAAAATAAAGCCATGAAGTTTCTCCAGAGTTCTAGTAGGTAGGAAAGGGTGAAAGAATGTAATTGCATCACACATGTTATCAGATGATAGTCAGGACTAAGAAGAAATATGAGTAACAAAACTATAAAAATTTCTGGTGAATATTTTGGAACACTGGGACTAGTGTAAGTAAAAATTGTCTTCAAAGAGAATGATGGAAATGTCTTTAGCATACCATATAAAGGAAACAAAAAATGAGCACTGAAATTCACTAAAGATTTACAGAATAATTTTACTACTTTCAGTCTTTGACCAAATATGTCCTGTAATGCAGCTATTCACAAACTAGTGATTTTTAAAAATTACTCTATTTTGGCTGCTGTCTTGCTGTCATCCACTTCTCTTTGGTGTTGTTTTCCTGCTGTTACTATACTTAGTAGAGGAGATCCTTATGCCAGTTAGAAGTGGTTTTAGTTTATACATGCAACTCTAAATGGGCTGGTAAAGACATGCTGCAATATAAAGGAAGTTGCAAGATCTGCTTTTTTTTAACATGTAAAAATTCTTTCCTATTACATATTGCTAGAAAGAAACTGAATTGTTGGTGATTTTTAGGGACAAAGGGAATAAAAGTTATGATATCAAAGTGTAATGGCACAAATTGCATTTAAAAGTGAGTCAAGATAAAATAATTAATTTCTGTTGCCTTTAATCAGAAATTATACTGTGCTTTTCCCTTGATCTGCTTGAACCTTTGCAGGTAATTGCAGTGCATTTTCAGACTGAAGCAGGTCCCACATTTTGAAGAAACAAGTCAGTTCTTCAGTAATTCAGGAGTGAGCAGCATAGTATGTCACTTCCCCAAGTTTTTCTACATTGAAGTATGTAGCTTGCAAGGATATATACTGGGATTTGTAACTTGATGAAACAGTTACAGTAAACTGATTAGATTTTACTTAGTATCATAAAAATAGGTGAGAAAACACTGACAGCTACACAAGTCTGTCTGTGTAAAACTGGCCTTGTGTACTTGCTTGTGTCTGTGTGCGGAGCCATTGCTTCCAGCAGGCTCTTCAGTTACTTTAAAATTACCATCATCTTTGAAGGAATGGCTTCAGCCAGAAGGAATAAATTACAGATGTTGGTGCTCTTTGGAGAGATAGGATATGATATTACTCATATAGGTTTTAGCAGAGTTTTTGTCAGAAGTCTGTCATCCACTTTTCCGCATGTCCTCTGGAACTTTGTAATCCAGAATGTAAGATTATTTGTAGAGATTTAGATACAGCTGAACATTGCTTTCATTGCTTGGGCAGGCTTCAAAAAGCATGTAATTCTTATCAGCCCAGTCTGTCAGAATCTTCCCTCCCTGTTTTTCTATGGTTTAGTTGCTTCACCTTAAGTAATTTCAAGGTGGTATCTGTCATTCCTTTCTTATGCCCACACCTTGAAATGGAGTGGATGGTTTTAGTAGCTTAATTTCCCAGATAACTGCACAAAAGAGGCTATTTCAGATGATTAACTCAGAAATCTCACTATCAGGATATGGATGCTTTCACTGAAGCCCTGCCATCCAGGGAAATGGCTTCATTTGGGAAGTCTGGATACTGTCCTGTACTTTGAGCATTACCCTGCTGTGCAGCTTTGGGTACTTCAAGAATTACTTGATCTCTTCATGCTAGACTACAATGAACGTTGTTAGCTGAAGGGCATTTTTCTGAGATTCCTGAGAGCCTGTGAAAACCAGATATACTTATTTACTGCTAATAGTATTTCTCACATGAACTGGGTTAGGCTTCAGTCATCTTGGTTGTTATTTCTTGCTCATGTCACCCACATATTTTAATTTATATTTGTCACATATCTTAATGATTCTTTGCTGTGTAGAAGTTTAGATTTTCCAGTATGGAAGCTTCTTTTACTTTTTAGTTCTATTATTCCCTTTTGGGACTTTGTGCTATTTCTGCTTCCAAAGCACAAGTATTATTTAAGACTTTTTGTACTTAAGGCTGAATGTTAATCAAGTTGTGAGATTGTCCAGTTTGGCACTCCCAAATTACTTAATTCCTTCTGTTGCTTGGTGTATTGCCATTCTGAAGTGTGACATAAGTTGATATCCATAAAGAAAGACATTTACCTTCACCTAAAAATACACTACTAAACTTGAGTTTCCTTCCTATATTATTTTTTTACAGTCATGATTCTGGATGAAAATAAGAAACCAGTGAAGGCAAAGACTTTGGGAAATATTGTGGTAAAGTAAGAAAAATAAATATCATACAGTTAAAAGAAACTTCCCACATGGGTTGATTATCTTTTGACTAAAGTTTATATAAAAATAAGAATAATTGAAGTAATGAGGATTGAAAAGCATGTCTGTCTGTCTCTGATACTGATACCAAACTCCCTGAATGTTTTATGTTCATTAATGTTGAAAAATTGCAGACAAAGTTGTGTGGATGGATGAGTTTTTCTTACACTACAGCAAAGTTTACCATTTTCCTAATTATCAGAATGTTGGCACAGAATGATGCTTTCCTCTTTTAATGAGCAAGGTACTGAATCATTCCCTTCACTATTGTATCTTTCCATTTAGTGAAATAGTACAGCAGTACAGATTGGTGTGCTTCAGTTTACAGGTGTGATGCTGCCTCTTCTTTCATGATCTCCTAATCCCAACTGATGCACCTTCTTAGAGGGAGAACATGTATTTTCTGTTCTCTGTAAAAAAAAAAATCAACAAGATGTTCCTGTGTGTGCTTTGCATGAAAGAGTGTTCATTTGGACCAGTACTTGGACAAAATAAATGCAGGAAAAGACTTCAGGCAAAAAATAAAAAAACCCTGCTGTGCATCATGTAGGTGATTTTTAGTAGCATTTACCAGACTTCTGACAGATGAGTTCCATACATTCTAATATTCTTTTTGAAAGTACACCTTTCTAAGGCACATTTCCTTAGATAAAAAGGACTCGGTTTAGATCATCCTGTGAACATCAGTTACATTTATCTTGCCTGCTGCCTTCTCACTATTGCCAGGATCTTTCCTTACTCTTGTAGCATTCTATGGGCTAGTGCTCTTTACAGCCCATGTCAGCTCTGTATTCTGGATGTTTTACAGGCTTTCAGACTAATGGCATTTTCCTCAAACATTTTTTTTTTCCTCAGAGAGAGACACCTGCTTTGTGATGAATGTGGTATCTGTGCCCACCTTTTTTTTCAGTCACAGAAAATAACTTCAGCACTGAACACTTTTTAACTGCAAGATAATACAAGTCCCAAAGGAAATGTATTCATCCATTTCTTCTGTGGTAGATTTTTGGAGAGTTGTGGTAGCTCAGTCTTCACTGCTTGCTTAGACGAATGAAAGGAAATGCAAAGATTAGTATTAACCTTCAGTGAACTGAAAATCTGTCAAAAGCTGAAGCGTTGGGATGGATGTACCAATTTTGTTGAATTGTTAGCACAATTAGCTGAGGCTTTCAGTTGGCTGAGGCACATGAGCTGGGGGTGAGAGACAGAAGCTGCAGGCACTGGAGCTGCAGACGTGCAGCGCCAGCAGTGTGGGTGGGCTCATGTGGGAGGTGGAGCTGCTGAGGTGGGGAGGCTTTTTACTCAGCTGTACGACTGGTCTTACGTAACTAGAGCCCTGTGGAGACTAAGTAGTATCACATGAACTTATTGTACTGTGTGATGCAGATGTGTGTTTTCAGGATGAAGTCTATACCCTGCCTCATTCTCAGCATCTTCAGCTAAGCCAGCAGGACACAGAGGCCTAGGTTTAGCTCCCCCGAGTAAGCGGACTCATATTTAGGCGTCGTTTGCTTGAGACACGTATAAGATTGGGCATTCGCTCCATTGTTGAGTATCTACATCCATACCAAGCACAAGTAATTAAAATTGCTCCAGTCTTTTGTAGACTTTGGTTTGCAGTATCAGCAACCCAGCTCAGGGTGGAAAACTGTCTTTCAAAGCTCTCACCTCTGTAGTGCTTGAAGCCATAGTAAAACACAGGATTGTAATCAATGGAGAGAGAAAAGGTATTTTGTAAGCTAGTTGCTTAGATATCCAGATTAGTTATTGTTATTCATTATATTATTCATGCCTAGTTATTCAACTAGGATGGAGTAAATCACCTTCCAGATGTGTTCATGTCTTTCCAGTGCCTGCAGGAGTGGCACACTTGGCTTAGGGTAGGTACTTAGCCTTATCTACCGAAAGAGGAGTGGAATGAACTCTGGGTTTAGCAACTCTGCCAAACAAGTTGAAAGACAGACTTCCCTAATGTTGCCCCACATTTAGATGTTTTCTCAAGGGATTACAAATGTGTTAATATATTGATTTGTGGTTGTTTCATTTGTTTTGTTTTATCTTGCTCAGTATGACTTTTGTTGCAATCAAAGGAATTAATAATGAAAAGAGAGAGGTTTTTTTGGTTTTTTGTTTTTTTTTTTTCAGCATATCACTCAAGAAAGTGTAATCTCACAGGGATACTATTATTTTATCGTGTCTGTTTTTATTGTGTTATTTTATTTTTTTATTAAAACAAGGTTTCATGAAGTCTTCTTTCAAAGAAGGCATTTCTCTCTTCAGCAGTCTTCTGCATGTACAGACCCTTTAAATTAGTGGAGATGATCCTTGTTGCTAGCAGTGTTTGTTTGTCAGCCCAGAGCATGTCCCCCTACAGCTGGAGGGACTCAGGATAGTTCTGACTATTATTCTTAGTATATACAGCTCATACAGCTTAGTAAAATATGAAGAAACACAGGGATTTGCTTCACCTGTAGCATAGGTGAGTTGAGAAACATACTTCAGTGTTTTTGGAGAGGATTTCTTGGAGAGGAGAGTGGTCATGCACTGCTTACAATGACAGCTGTGCAGAAGTGGTAAACTGCAGCTTTTGGTTGTTTTTATCCTAGTCTAACTCCTGGTAGAGACTATTTGGGGCTGCTTGAGGCCTGCAGTTTTCCTAAGTACAGTATTTAAAATATCTATTCTTACAGCCTGTAAGAAATAGATATTTTTAATTAATGCACACTTGAAAATACACTTGTATATGTAGCTGCTAGTCTAACTGCAGGCAATATGATCCCTTGTTATTGAGTAGGGAAACTGAAGAGGAGCCGACATTACTGTCTGTGGATGTGATGTTAGTACATCCATTGCTGCATTATGCTTGGTTCTTACAACTGTATTTTAAGACTATTGAGAAAGTGACTGCATTTTGAGGAAAATATGAATGAGTGACCTGAGTGCTAGAATCTGCCTGGTATGAAAAATATGAAAACCTGTGGTATGTAATTCACCCAAGATCAGTAAAATAGTAACCTTTTAAAGGCCAGGGGAAAAAAATAATCTCTGAGAGATGGCTGTTTGATCTAGTATAAATAAATTGGAAGCTGAAGCTAGATGCATTCAGATGACAAATAAAGCACTATTTTAGTAGTGAAAGTATTAAGACATTGGAATAAATTCTTGGGAGTATGGTGGTTTACTGTGATATTTTTAGGCCTAATTTAGATACCTATTTTAAACAAAAGTTGTGGGGTTGAGGCAGGATTTAGTAGATGGCATCTTTCAGCCTGTGTTATATGGAAGGTCAGTTTAAATACCTGTGCAAAAGATTTATCTTCCTAACAGCCTTTATATGATTATCAGCTTTGTCTTTTCCCTTTACAGAAAGAACATTAAGTAGGTCTTCCAATGGAGAGCAGTTTGTCCAAAGATAGTTTTTCTAGCAGATCTCTGGCTGAGTACATGTAAATACCATTTGAACTTTCCTTATTTTGAAATTGTTCCAAGCACTTTCACTAGTTTTTGATGGCTTTTTCTCTTTTCCCACTAAAGTAAAATCCAAACTGAGATCGACTACTTTTGTAACTCCTTTCAGCTAACTAAAGTAATATTTCATGCAGACTGATGACGTTCAAGATCCTCTACTCTTCTTCACCCTTTTTTCTGTGTTGTTGTTCCTAGAGTCTGAAAAAGCTTCCAGATGCTTTTCAAACTTGCAATCAAAAATTTTTGTAAGAGTGATGTTTATGCACAACCCTACATAAATGCTAAGTAATAATTATAGCTGCCAGTTGAGATTATTTTGTTCCATTCAGAAGCCCAAACTCATTTAACAGTGGCTTGTATTTACTTTGACTGGCTGTAATGAATAGACTCTGAGTATCATTGCCTACCATAAAATAAAAGAATGTCTTTTCTGAATTCCAGCAAGGTAACATCTCCAGTAATTTATTATTTCATTTCAGAAATCTGCTTTTCTGTGCAAATTCTCTTTTGGGTTCTCTGTCTATAATTGCTTGGTTCCATTAACAAGGAATCTTACACCATTTTGATGAGTGGCATTCTGAAAGGATGTGCTACGTGGGAGTCAGATTTCTTGGGCTAACCTAAAGGTGGACTGTTCTTTGAAAGGTCTACCATTGCTGTATGAAAAATAAATGAACTGTGAAACAATGCTTAAAAAACCAAATAATAACTGTCATTTAAAATTCTGTACCAGAAAACAGTTACTGTTAAAATACCTCAGAGTTTTTTGTGATGCTGTCAAGCTCATTCATCTTACTCTCTCTAATTTATAATGAAATTACCTGCTTATCTTTGTAAAATGTAACTAGAATGAATCTTTGTTAAATGAACTCATATGATTTAAATCATTAATTTACACAGTTTGCCTCATTTGCCTGATGCTGTTTTAAATGTATTCAACCTTTAAATGAGAAACAGGCCTGGATCTGTATTCTTGTAATTCAACAATTTTAATCTTTCTTTGACTGGAGTAAATGTGGAATAGCATAATTTGTACTGCTGTTACAGTGCTGGTAACAGACAGCTACAGAAATACAGTAAATATGTCCCAAGGGGAAACCAAGCAAAGCAAACTTCTTTGTGTATTTTGAAAATGATAATGAAGGAACCTACTTACTCGTATCTTGGCCTTCTGTGTTCCTGTCCCTTGTGAAAGGAAAGCAGTCATGCTTACATATGCATTCCTGGCATTTTTGGTCAATATATCTCTTAGTAAAAATAACACCAAAAGATCTTGCGTATCAACTCAGTTTTTAGACAAAGAGGCAACAGTTCTTAAATGCTGAGTTATTGTGGGTGTGTGTTACATTTTCTAGGGAAAGAAAGACCCATATCAAACATCTCAAAATGTTCCTTTTTATTGAGAGATTGATAAAAACAAGAGATGTCTGTTTTCAGGTTGCTCTTATTTTTGGACAGTCTCATTTTCTCTCTTCTGGCTCCTTGCATGTAATTATGATCCAGTTCTGCTCCCTTTGGAATTTATGGCAGCATTCCCACAGACAGCAGTGGTTTTGAGGTATATTTGGCTCTGGACATTTTAATTCTGATGTCCTGACAAAATTTCAATACATAATAATGTTCTGGCAAGCTGAATTATTCTACCTTTATTAATTTGAGTTTGCACAGAACCTAGAAATTCTACTAAATCATGATGCCAAGAACTCTGCTTTCATTAAAGAATTGTATGTGGCTATTGCTCTGGAGTTATTGTGGTGAAAGACTGACACATGGAAGAGGGCATTCACTTTTTGCTTAGTGGATGAATGGGGTCTTAATTGCAAGTAATCTTTCACAGAAAGCCATGGAAGATTTTCAGATGTCTGTATTCTGTTAAGATATGGTTTGCAGAGATACCTGTGGTAGCCACTAATTTAGCAGTCTGGCTTCCACAGACACACAAAAAATATGCTCTGTGGATGTGTTTATCAATACAATTTTCCTAAAAAAACCCCAACAAACAAGCAACCCCACCCCCCACCAAACTGGAACATGAGACATCCCCAGTCTCCCCATTTGAAAAAAAAATCCAAACAAGGACAGGAAAACCAATAGTGAAAGTGAGGCTTTTATTTTTGGGGATATGTTCCACACTTCTCTGTTTAGATTTTTAAACAATGACAGAAAATGCTTTGCTAATTTCAGCAATAAACCTGTTTTTTTCTATTCAGTGACTAACTGCAAAGTATTGAATAGACCTGTGGGGAAATTAAGGACTTTATCAATATGAATTGTTCTTTCTCTCCCATCACAAAGATGTTAGACTGCTAAATAAATTTAAAGTGCGAAATTCGCAATGACTGAGGCTGTTATGAATTGCTGTACTATTAGCAACCAGGTAACAACCACAGTAACTGCCACTCTCTGGTGGCTTTTCTTGAATCTAAAAAAATCTAAAGAGATTTTTTTTTTCCCTTTTAAATGCATGCATACACAAACACCAGGATCAATATATTGTTTTTCTAATCTTTTTTTCCAAGGCGAGCACTCCATGGGTCATGTTTTTATATCACAGAGACGCTTACTAAGCTTGAAAGGCTTAAAATAGGGCACTGAATTTCTTCCAGATGGGCAGAAGCCAACCTGCCCTCCTCAGCCCTGGGTAGCTATGTGGGAAGTGTCTTGACATTTCTGGCCATACCTTACCCGTACTTTCAAGGAATGTGATGTATGGGATGTGTTGAGCCAGAACCCTCAGAGAAAAAGCAGTAGTATTTATAGTAGTATATTCTGTTATGCTAGCTGACCTGAATTAAGCTGAAAAAACTAGGATTGTAGAAAATCAGGCATTCAAATAATTACTGGATGATATGACCTTTTCAATTCAATGTAGTTTGTACTGGTTTTACCATAGCTAGGATTTTTTTGAAGTGTGTTTCTCTCTCTCTCTCTCTCTCTCTCTCTGTGTATATATATATATATATATATATATGTAACTATTCTTTTTGTAAATCTTTTTGGTACATGTCACAGGGCTGGTGGCACCTGTTCTTGTGATTGGCCATCATAGACATGTAATGACACCAGAATTGCTATGCTACAGAGAACTGTTTCCTTGCTAGAGATGTTGCCTTCTGGTGTCACAGGGATACTATCACAGAAAATAAACTACCTCTGGCTAAATACTTGCTAGTTAGCAAGACAGGCATATGCTAGCAAAATCTATATGGTGCATTTATGATTTTATGTAAATAAATATGTTTGTTTACATGATCTCTGTTATTAGGGGTAAACTTCATAAAGCTTGTGTTGATATGCCTGAATATATATCTCTCAGGCAGTTAAAGAAATCTGTGTTTGACCCTGTCAGAGCTTCGAAGAAAGAAACTAGCACTTTTTTAGCTGAGGTTTCTGCAGCTTCTCTGCTGGCAGTGTCCTATATTTTCTCATGCCCATATCATTGACTGACGAAGGGTTTTAGTATGCATTCAAAACTCAAATAATAAAGCAATCCATAATTTTGCAGCTTTAAGTACAATTATTTTAGAAAGTTCTATTAGTGACTTGTATCAATATACTTTCACAGAACTTCTCCAGTATTTCCAATAGTATTAGGCACAGTTTAAACAGAAAAGCATTTTCATTCAGATTCTTGTGACTGAACTCCTTTGAGTTTTATCTTTTTACAGAAACTGAAGATCTGTGTGTCTGATAATTCATCTGTCTGTGCATGTGTGGGTGTGTATGGGCGTTAGAGAAAGAGAGACCTGTAATAATGCAGTTGCTTGTATCATAGTGTGTATGCATAAATTTCAAACAGATACTTAATCCTTAGAAGTGTTAAAAGCTAAATGCTGTTAATGTATTTATAATACAGTATATAGTGTTTACTAGACCAAATATTATTGTACTGAGGTGCTTGCATTATGTAAAAGGTAAGGTCTTGGATACCCTGCAGAGCTATATACATTTGATGACAATAATACATAGCCTTTTTTATTGGTTACCAGCATGTAATTAAGCTGAACTTTTTTTCTAATTGTGTAGACAATGATTATTTGTCTGAGAACAGAGAATGAATGGAGAACATGAGTTGTATTTGTTATATCTGTTTTTCTTACTACTTCCTTCTGTTCTTTTCTATTTAAGGTTGCCTTTGCCTCCTGGAGCATTCTCAGGTCTTTGGGAAAATGAAGAAACATTTCAGAAGTTGTATTTCCAAAAGTTTCCAGTAAGAATTATGAAATCAATTATTTAAACTTCTGGTAATGCTGAATGATAATAGATTTAAACTGGGAAACAGTTCATCATAAGTTGTCACAATTTCATTGGAGGTTTTTGATATATGTATATATAATTAAAACCATATCAAGATAAATCCTTTGTCATCTGTAATTTCAGTTCTTGGGTATGCTGTTGTTTTTTTAAGATCTGAAACAGAAGAAGTAAACCATAAGCTTCTGAGCCAAAAAGTAATTTCATGTCATTTAATCTAAGATATAAACCTGCAACCTTACCCTAGCACAGCTTCAGATACACTCCTCCTGCTGGCATGCAGCCATGCTAACTTTGTATCACTCCAAAATAACACTTGTCCACTGTACATCTGAATACACTGGAGGCTCTTTGCTGCATTAGTTATGTTTCCTTCTCAGATGAGCTATCCAAGGACTGGCTTACTTCTTTCCTTGTACAAATAGGTAGATTGGCCCTATACAAATGCTCAAAGTGGAAGATTTGGCTCAATGAAAGTAAATGAGTGAATTGATCACACAAATTATTTTTAGTGTGCAATTGCATCATGATGACAGTGTATGTTTGGATACAGCAAACAGGAGTATCTTTAGGCAGAATTTGACAACTGTCATTATATTGCAGTAATTCCATTTTCCTTGTGTAGATTCAGGCAACATCCTTCTCCAAGCTGTCAGGAATCAAAGTAAGCAGAGTTGGAATAAAGCCAGGGTTTATCTATTTTTTTCTGTTCTGTATTAATAAAGACAACAAAACCTTTCTGGAAGGGAAGCTGCACAGGATAATATGATACAAAAATGGTGACAAATATTACGGAATTAAGTCTTTCAAGCACCAAAAGCATATATAATGTGAAACAGGTATATATTTTTATTTTGATTTTTATTTTTGTGTTTCCTGGTAAATTAAGGAATATTCCTAGTGGTCTTTCAGAATTTATTTTTCATTGTGTTGTATTTAGGGATATTATGATACTATGGATGCTGGTTATATGGATGAAGATGGCTATCTGTATGTCCTGTCTAGAGCTGATGATGTGATCAATGTTGCCGGACACAGAATTTCTGCAGGTGCGATTGAAGAGGTGAGCATTGCCTGACAGCAAAATAGAAGAGTGAAAGATGAATGCAGGAAGCTGAGACTAAAAATCCCACATTTCATCACATCTCACATCTCAAAATCTCACACAAACAAATGAGAAAGATCTCTCATTTGTTTTCTACTTGTTTTGTTTGCATTTCCATTGGTACTTTTAACCAAAGTATTTCCTGTTTCAAGTTCTTCTATTAAGATGCTTTCCAGAAAAAAAACAAATTTAGTCAATAATAAGCAGGGTCAATAAATAGTGTGGGATTGGTAAGGCAGGCATAATTTGGTACTTGAAGGTGGAAGAAAGGAGCAGTGTGGCAGGGTGGGAAGCATACCTTTTAGCTCAAATAATGTATTTATTTGGGAATACAGTAGGATAGTGTAGTATCAGTGTGACAGGTAGTTTCACCAACTGGTGTAGTTACTTAGGAGTAGAAACTTTTTTTCCTAAAATACAATGATCAGTGTTGGCTGCTTTTTTTTTTCAGAGATTAATATTCAGTGCTTTTTCTTGGTGGGAAGACTTCAGAGTTTTTTGACAGCTGTTTTGTCTCTTATTGTATGAGCAGTGCTAAATGAACAATGAAAATTTCAGTAAAAAACCCTGCTGTTAAATTGAAAGTCATTAATGTAATACCCATGCAACTCAAAAAAGTTGAAAAAAATGAAGTTCATAATAGTGTCTGAATTTCATATCATTGTTCACTCACCCTTCTGGAGTTGCTGTGATTGATTGCTAGTTACAAATTTCCCTGATGACATATCAATTGCTTATTCAGGGAATATAGGGAAAGGTGTGCTGGGCGTGTACAAGAGAAAAATATGCTTTTAAGTACTCTGAATTTCACTGTTCACTGAATTAGAAACTAATCTGCAAGTTGGGTTTTTGGTTTATAATGTCTGTTAGTCTAGTGACTACTTTATTTTGAAGGCTAAAAAACTTAGAATGGTAGAAATTCTAATTACACAGAAGTGAACAAGTTCACATAAACATTAATCCATCAAGGACTGATCAGCCAGGGAGCTGAAACAGCTGCTGCCCTGACAGGTTTTTGGAGATATAAAGATGCTTTCAGTCTGCTTAAACCTCTTTCCCTTGTGTTCCCTTACTGAAGCACAGCAGGAATCTCATCCCCACCCCTTACTGCTGTACTACTCATGGGCCAAGTGGGGCATTTCCTTTGCTTCAGCCTGGGTCTGAAGCTGCTGTAACAAATGATGAATTGAATCATCTCACCTGCTGTATTACCTGTGGATCCATTATACTGAGCTCAGCATCTCTGTTTTTCTCCCTGCTAGTTAGGTCTTACCCCTAGAAACATAATGTTTCATGACACTAACATTTTAGAAGCTTTTCTCTTCACCTTTTGAACAAAGCTAAAAACCAAGAGTGATAATGCATGCACACCAAATTGCTAGTTAAATGGGAAAGTGTTAAGAAGACCACAATTCCCTCCTCAGTAAGATGAGTAAATACAGAATTAGAGGTCCATTGAATCACCATGTAATTGGCAATCACCTTGTTGAGCAAGTATGTTATCTACATTTACATTTTAGCTGCATTACAAGTTTAACTAGTTTTTCCTTAGTGCTTTGACTAAGTGTTTTATCTCTGTTATGTTCCACACAATTTTTTCCTTTGTCTAATGTATCTGTTTATACTATTGGAGCTCCATGTTTACTGCAATGCAGTAGATGTTACAGTTTACATGGCCAATTAGTGAATGGTGGCCATTATGGGAACCTGATCTTGCATGTTGATCCATACCTCTTCTTTGGTCTGTAAATCTCTGGTGTCCCTTTTTGCCCCTTCCTGAAAAATAAAAAAAAGCCTAATCAAATCTAGTCTGTCTGAGGCAACAGACTTGAGAACTGAGGAATTTATCATGAGAAATCCCTTACCCCTGATCACAATGTTTCTGTCTGCCGTTGCATTTGCCATCCATCCTTGTGCCCAGTGATCACACTGGGAAAACCATTTCCACTTCCTGAAGTTTTTTATTACTTTTAAACAATTTTTAAATGTCTAGTGCTGTTTCTGCTCTTCTTTTCAGTTGTTCTATGAAGTTTGATAATTTTAAAATTGGTATTTACTAATTACTAGTTTCAGTAATTTGAAGTTAGCATTTGAAAAGTCAGAGGCATGTTGATAGAACTTTGGATAGACTGTAAAAAAATACTACAATAACTACACTCTTCCAGCTAACCATAATACTTATGACAGACTCGAAGTACAAAAGCAAGGTACAACAAAACAATCTGGCAACATTCAGGCCTCCACCTTAGATAGTCCTGTTGATGCCTGGTAGGTAATTATGATATTTGATGATAATGCCAGTTGAGTATAGATCTTTTTTCTGTGTTCCTGTGGAAAACAGTATTTACTGATTTACTGTGGTCATAGACTTAATAGTCTACTTTTCCATATTTTTGGATTTTTGTTTTTTGTTTGTTTTTTTTTTTTTTTTTTTTTAATATAAGCCTATCAGGTTTCTGTGGTCATGGTCAAGAGTTAGAGCAGGAAAAAATGGTTTTTTATAGCAGGAAATGGAATTACTGAGGCTCTGGCCTGTAAGTGACCAAAGTGCATTAAGTGTATGTGATGCATTGAAACTCTGTAGGGATTTGAACTTGCATAAGATTAATCCCTATATGATTTGTCAGTATGGACTTTTGAACAAAGTAGGCTGCACCTGAATTCAAATGCATTTGTGTATATTCAGCTTTTTGAAGCAGGCTCTTCTGCCCTTCTGATTCTGGTATAAGCCCAGTGCACTCTTCTATATTTAGTTTGTGCATATAATATCTAATTCCTGTGAAAAATAATCCAGTTTCAAAAGCTGTACATAAATGGTCATGCTTCTGTACTTTGATAGAGCATGCATCTACTGTCAGGTCAGTGTTTTCCATTTGCCTTTTTTCTGGCATGGGACATGTCTAGCATCATAGTTTGTGAAATGAGTATAGCTTCTGACAAAGTGTGCTAGAAACACATTGAGTGGATTTATTTTGCTAAAAACTACTTGGTGTGTGCTGTATTGACCATGACACGTGGAGTCAGTTTCTCCTTCCTGTTTTGACTATAAAGCCTAAGGATGGTGAAATGTGTTTTGAAGATGGGTTATCATAGACCCTTTGAATTATTCCTTTCCCCATCAGTTTCATAAACAGGTCATACAAGAACATCCCTTTTTAAACTGGGGCAACAGTGATTCAGCTTTCCATTCTTTCAGTTTTTTTCTTCCTGTCTTCTCTGTACTTTTCCTGTCTTTCACATTCTTGCACCATTGTATGAGTAGCCAATGCAAATATGGTATTCCTACTTAATAAAAACAACCAAAAAGTGTCTTTATTCCTAAAACCTTTGATTTTGGCAACACAATATGTGAAGTTCAGTTATTAGCAAGCACATAGTCCTTGTATGCACAGATAAATTAACAAGCATTATCACATTATGTGGCTTCTGTGTAGGGTCATGTTAGGTCCTCCTTGTGGTTGAGTTCAGAGGACTGAAAAGTGCTGAAAGCACTGTTGAGAGCAAAATGCCCCAAGGTGAGGGGGTAAAGTAAGAAGAGCCAGTTGCTTTGGAAGAGGATTCACAGCTGCTGGCATCTTAAGGCCAGCTTTGTCGCAGACTTGGTGACATACATCTTGGTATGTACTGAGACATCTTGGTGGCTGTTTTCCTGGAAGTGAGTACCTCAACTGGCTAATTGGAAGCTTACATTTTTTACCTAAAAAAGAGTTTGATATATTTTATCAATGTGATGTTGCGTAAACATGTAGTAGGAAGGAAGGAAGCTCTGGTTTAATTCCCTTTTTTGTCTCAGGAAGCTGAGATCTCATGTTTTCAAGAGAGTGAGCTAAGCTAGGCTGGCTGCAAGCCAAGGCTGGGCATGTATTTGGCCTTGGTTGAAACTATGCTTTTACAGAAACAAAGAATGAAAAAAAAAGTGTCGGAGAAAATGAACCAATAGACTTTGTAAGTCTGTAGTAGGAGTGCTTCTGTGGTTTTCATCCTTACTCCCTGCATTTAAGTTCCATGTTACTCATAATGTTAGACAAACGTTATTTGTTCCAGCAGAGATCTCATTAATAAAACCAAAGACGTGATACTCTCACAAAGCTGTAAGGAAATTACCTGAGGTTTGTTCAATATTTCTATTTTGTGCTGCTAAAGTTTTTATTTCTTCTGTTTGTTTGAAAAGCATGCGTGAGTATATATAATAATATATATAGAAATGTACATCTTCAACACATGTAATTGGAATCCTAAGGTGTACTGACCTTTTGCTGTTAAAATGTAAGAAAAAGTCTATGTTATTTCTTCATACCATACCATTATTTTCACTGAAATGTTGTCTATTATTGGTTCAGTTTTGTTTTCCTTTCCATCCCTCAGTGTATTCTCTTCCATCCCGCTGTGGCAGACTGTGCTGTTGTGGGCCAGGAGGATCCTTTAAAAGGACATGTTCCATTTGCACTGTGTGTACTGAAACAAGGTGAGAACTCACTGATAACTGATGTCATTAACACTTGCAAAAGTCTCAGAAAAGATAAAGGATTTTACCTTCTTCACTAGGTGTAAAGACACAAGAGAGTAAGATTTTGAAAGAGATTGTTGAGCGAGTTCGGACCAACATTGGTCCAGTAGCAGCTTTCCAGAAGGGGATGTTTGTGACACAGCTGCCAAAAACACGCTCTGGCAAGATCCCACGTTCTGCTCTTTCTGCACTTGTCAGTGGAAAGCCATACAAGGTAAGTTAGAGATGTTTGCTTCAATGAATTAGACACACATGCACATCCAAAGGCACAACATGGTGGTTTTGATTCTCTTGAATGTTCTGCAACTGGTCCATGACTTCAGGTAGTACTTCATGTTTTATTTCTATTGCAGATGATGCAAAAGATTTTCATGTTTCACAGCTTTACAGATATTTTTTTCTTGAGTGCTTTCGAAGTATAAATTTAGAAGAATCTCTGAATGAAATTCTTATCTATTATTACATGCTACTGTATTCTTACTTTTCAGATAACACCAACCATTGAAGATGCTAGTGTGTTTAAACACATTGAAGAATTGCTAAAGAAAAATTAAATGGGATAATACATAATAACGAGCATTTCAGTTATTCAAGTATACAAAGAAGCATTTTTTTGTTAATAACACATTTTAAAAACAAGTAATGATTTGGGACTAAATGTTTTTACTACAGAAACATTACTGTGTTCTTTACCATCTTACCACAGCCACTGACGCATATTAAAATCTCTGCATGTTGTCAATATATTCTGGTTATTATGATGGCTAAGAATTGCAAATAGAATTCATTCATTGCTGTAGTCTTAAAGGGAAGGAGTCATTGCATTATCCATCTTATCTGGTGTCATGTAACCTTACATTTCAATCTGTTATTTTATAATGTGACCAGTAACTTTTGTTTGGCTAAAGCAGTTTACAAAGGGTAAACCATGAACAAACAAAAGTAAAAAAGGAATTTGATTGTGAAAATTGTTGCAGATATAAATTGTTCTTACTTGTAAATTTTAAGTTCTTGTCTTTTAGATTTTTTCTAAAATTAAAAATTTTAAGATTAGTTCTCTTGATTCAATTTTCTTTCTTTTTTCCAAAGTCTTTCTGCCATAAATTAAATTTCTATAAATTTTTTACTCAATAACTTTCTGAAGAGTCTTTTTTGTAAAATGATAAGTAATTCCTGGCTTTTAAATCTTGATTTGTCCACAGTGAAAATCCTGATTGGTCCACAGTAATATTCAGAAAACTCCATGTATATTAAATAAAGGCAGGCATTTACCCTTTGCATTTTCTGGTAATTTTTTTGTGGTTTATATGTCTGGACCACCAGAATGTGCTTTTGCTGCCATAATTAAGCATTTTAGGCTGAGATACACATAACCAAGAAATTTAGCAAATATGGATACTAAGCAGCTCATTCTGGACATTATAGGCCACTCCAGACAGGTACAGGGTTCTCAACAAGCCAGGGGATGGAGGATACACTTTTGACATACATTACTTCTCAACTGCAGGTATTTAATTGAACAGTAAATGTGAAGGTCCTTATAAAAGTAGATGCTCCCAGGAAAGTATAAAAGCAGAGAAGTTGCTCAAACTCAGCAGTGCTTACCGGAGAAAGAATCAGTAAGTAATAGACAAATTCAGATGATGTTGTTGTGTAAGAGAGGTCCCCAAAAGGTTCCAGAAATACTGTTATGTAGTGGTGGATAGAGGTATGGATGATATCCCTGTAAAGTGATGAAATAAACCAACAGATTTGTGTAGGAGCTAACAGGTAGTAGGTTCCACTTAACATGAGCCATACCCTGGTGGTGCCTTGTGCTTGTGACACTTTTTTGGTGTTGGTGAGCTCTACCAGTTACATAAGAACTGAATAAAATGTCGATGTGTTTTTCACTAGGGACTGCAGACAGCTGGGCCAGTCATGTTGAACCAGGTCATACAGTGATGTTAGAACAGCCAGTTTGAGCCTGTGCTGTCCTTGTTTCCTGCCAATCATTGCATAAGATACCCTCCTCCCTCTCAGCTATTCTCTTCAGTTGAAAATCACAATCTGAACAGGGAATAAAACATGCAAACACTGAATAAAAGCTAATGATGCTTTATGGTAGATATGCTAAATATACAGGTTGAAGATTTAAAACTGGGAATAATTTTGCTATTCATAGATGTCCTTAAAGTTTTGTGAAGTACTTATAGAAGTGGCAGTTAGTTTAAGATACTGTTTTCTTCTGGATGAATTATTCAAGTACAAAGGCTTTAACAGGAGCCCCATGGCAAATACTGGTCTGACTCGCAGAGACTTTTTGCTTTTCACAATGCTACAACTTAGCAACCTGTGCTGAACAGTTACAGAGCAAGAGGGAATTCTTGAGAGTTGTCAGTGGTGTGGTATTTTTTTAAATCAGTGAGACACTCTAAGAGCCATCAGAGAAACTGTGGCACATTCACAAGGTGTGTGGCCACTACTTTTACAATTGAAGGTGAGACATTATTGTGTATGTTTGTTATCATTACCTCGGCTGCAGCAGGGGAGGGGAACTAATTAGTGAGAGCAGAAAATCTCTACAAGAGATCTTGCAATGCATGTAGGGGAAGAGAATTAATTTCCTAGATCTTGCATAATTTTCCCAATGATTACTCATGCTCCTACCCCAGTTTCTCCTTTTGTAAGGAAAAGTAAACTGCTTTCTAGTTTGGGTCTCTTCTTTTAAGGAGGTGAAAAAAACCCACAAAATCCCCAACAGCATTAGTAATATTCTGGCATGCACTTACCTTTCTGAAGGGCTGTGTGCTTACATTAATGTTAGTAAGGAAACAATTATCTTTCCTCAGAACTCTTCATAAAGAGATTCGATAGGTGTCTCCATGACAAAAATATTTGTAATACTTTCTGTTTTCTGAGGAAGCCTGTTTTCTTTCTCTCTATTTTGGTAGAAGTGATTTCAGATCAAGACTTGTATTTTAAAAGAGGACAGAGCGTTCAGGTGTGCTCACTATACTGGCATGCTGGTAATACGGAGAATTCCAGAAATGTCAAATGTCTCATGCATCAACATTCAGAAAACCTAGACAAAGAAAGGCACCTTATTCAGCAATACAGTATGGAGAAATCATTGTTTAATGGCCATTACTTTTGTTTTCCAAAAGAGCTTTTTGCTGAGGAGCTGCAATTGCAGAATGCTTTGTCTTAGCCCAGCTCAAGGAAGGGAAAATGAGTAGTTACATGGCTCTGCTGCTGCCCAGCAACCTGGGTATACCATCAAGAACAACAAGCCTATTTAATGATTTAATGAGTGGTAGGACAGCAGTGATTTTCCAATTTTTTTTTTTTTTTTCAGAGAGAAGCAGCAAGAGGGTAGATTTGAAGGGTCACTGAGTTGCTGAATTTTGGCTGGAAGAGGCACATGTAGTAGTTATTCTCAGTGTACTGAAAGGGTTGGAGCCAAGTAGACAACAGTTAGCATAACTGCTGTTTCTAGCTGTAGAGGGTGGAGCTTCAGCTTGTGTGAGGGAGACAGGGATGAATTAGGAGGCTTGATGTGCTATCCTAAATCAAAACTGAAGTCACCATAATGCTTTTTTAAATTCTTCTAGTCTGTTTTCTTCCACTGTGAAATATATAATTTGCGTGTGCTGTTCTCCTGGGGCAGGACAACTTCCACTCTGGTCATAAAATCTGACTCATTCTTTTCCCCAACATATTTCATTCCCCTTTGCCCCCTAAGTTTTAGTGTTAGCTGCAAAAGGAATTCTGTAGAACAAGAGCTGGTGTTTGAGGTAATATGAACTTACATGATATTGCTGCCACTGATAGTGGCAGTGACAGTGTTTGCATTGCTTTACTTTGTGATATTCTGCCCTAAAATAAGCCAGAAGGAGGCTGAGGGAGGAGAAGAATGTTGGTCAAGCCCAAGGAACTGTGTGTACAAGAGCCCCAAATTTCTACAGTTGTGTGCTATACCCCTGCCAGCACTTTGCACCCATCAGCAAGATCTGTGCTCCCTCTCGTGGCAGATTCTCATCATAACTCATCCCTGTTAGTGCCAAAATGTTCTTATGCTTAGCTGTGAGAAGCATCTGGTTTCCAAACTTAATGCTACTACATACCAAACAGACTAATGAACACAAATAGCACTGAATTCTCTTTTTTATTGACATTGGGGGAGAAAAATCTTTCACCATCTGATTGACCGAAGTTTGCCAAATAAAAATAGACAAAACAAATGTTAATGTACGTGCAAACATTGCAGATCAAACTGCTAAAAGAAATAACTAAAAGACAGGTCTTGAGCTAAGTTCAAGCAGCTGAAAAATAGCAAATAGGTAAATGACTATTAAGTAGGTCTTACTTTGAAACTTCCCATTTAAACAAAGAATAAACAACAATAACACCACCAAATAAAGCCACAGCAGGTAATAGTTGCTCTTCTAAACTTTTATACACTATATATTAATCACTCTGTCTTTCAGTTATTTCCTCTGATAAAACTGACTTTTGTGAAGTCTCAGCAAGGCCATCTTGGCTAAAAGCATAACATTAGACAGGAGCCTGTCTAATGCCCTGTTAGAATGAAGAAATGGTGGGGGTTGGCTTCTTTTTTTCTTTCTTTTTCTTTGCTGAATATATCTGGAAAGAAGAATCTGATTCTATGCAAATACTAGATTTACTTTTCCAATGCTGGCTGGTGTTTGAAGATCCTGGAACGAAAAGGTGGCTCTTGGTAAAGCAAGATTCTTCTTGGTCCGCAGGTAACATAGAAGAAAGTTTTTGGTTTTTTTGTACAAATCATGTTTTATTAAATTGCTTTTTATTTTTTTATAAACAGTTCTTCTGGATTTATGTGTTTGTTTTTAATAGGTGAGCCATCATGGTGCTTCTCTGTAGGTATCTAACATTTCCATTTTGTCTTTAGAGGTCCATTTTTGCTTCAGTTCCAGATTATGTCATTCTATTATACATCATCAGAGGCAGGTGTTCAGCTTTAAATATTGACAGATTTTTCTCAGTAGGAACATGTTGAAGCTTCTAACTCTGCTAAACATATTAATTTGACTGTTACAATCCAAAAACTGTAAAAATGGTGGAATGGAAAGATACAAACAGTATTATTGACACTGTATTGTCAAATGTTTGCACTGAGACCCCATGTACCATAGATTTCATTTTTAAAAAATCATATTTATATCCATTTACATAAGACTTACACATTTTAAAAGAAATACATACACAGTAAATACGTAAATGTCTAGTATTTTACAATAAAACAGATGTAACAATGTAAAGATGAGTGGCTTCATTTGATAAAAGCTTTGGATGTGCACTACTGTCAAATTTTTGATGACAGAGATGCTGAGAGAAAAGGGGGAGATTGTTTTTTCTTTTTTTTTTTTTTTGTTTAAGTAATTTAGGTATTTTGTATTCATGTTTTAAACTAACCAATACATGAAAGGAACATCATATCTGTTTGTATGATAAACATTATGTGTTCTCTTCCTTATTAACCTGTTCTTGCAGAGTTTTAATGCTCTTTTCCTAAGTAGTGGTAGTGCACTTCAGGTAAAGTAGAAGAAAGAGATGACATCTAAGAAAAAAAAAACAAACATTAATTAGCAAGATTTATGATTCTATTTCAGCCTAAAGTTCAATGACAACAGAAAATATACCACTAAGTAAGTAGTTTAGTAACTAAG